AGCAATGAGTACTGTTGGGGTCATGAAGCTTACGTTTAGTACCATTAATTTTATAGTCAGCGAAAAAAAGGCTAAATCACAAACTTAAACATTCCTTGGCGAAGTTTAGCATACAAATGCACTATATTAGGCCTATGATGGCATGTATTAGGCCTGTGGTGGCTTGTATTAGGCCTATGATGGCTTGTATTAGGCCTGTGATGGCATGTATTAGGCCTGTGATGGCATGTATCAGGCCTATGCTGGCATGTATCAGGCCTATGCTGGCATGTATCAGGCCTATGCTGGCATGTATCAGGCCTATGCTGGCATGTATCTGGCCTATGCTGGCATGTATTAGGTCTAGGATTGTTTGAACAGTTATGGTTCTTTAGTTAAATTTCCGATTTAATAGAATGTTATTTGGGCTAATTCAGTAATACAAGAAGTGAACTTTTGGTGCCATAAAGTATATATATATATATATATATATATATATATATATATATATATATGCGAACAAGCCTGAATGGTCCCCAGGACAATATGCAACTGAAAACTCACACCCCAGAAGTGACTCGAACCCATACTCCCAGAAGCAACGCAACTGGTATGTACAAGACGCCTTAATCCACTTGACCATCACGACCGGACTAATGAGGTGATAGCCTAAGCTATTTGAACCACCCCACCGCCGGCACTCGGATAGTAATCTTGGGCATAGCATTTTACCAAATCACCTCATTCTTTGGGGCACACATGAGGAACACAAATGCGAACAAGCCTGAATGGTCCCCAGGACAATATGCAACTGAAAACTCACACCCCAGAAGTGACTCGAACCCATACTCCCAGAAGCAACGCAACTGGTATGTACAAGACGCCTTAATCCACTTGACCATCACGACCGGACTAATGAGGTGATAGCCTAAGCTATTTGAACCACCCCACCGCCGGCACTCGGATAGTAATCTTGGGCATAGCATTTTACCAAATCACCTCATTCTTTGGGGCACACGTGAGGAACACAAATGCGAACAAGCCTGAATGGTCCCCAGGACAATATGCAACTGAAAAACTCACACCCCAGAAGTGACTCGAACCCATACTCCCAGAAGCAACGCAACTGGTATGTACAAGACGCCTTAATCCACTTGACCATCACGACCGGACTAATGAGGTGATAGCCTAAGCTATTTGAACCACCCCACCGCCGGCACTCGGATAGTAATCTTGGGCATAGCATTTTACCAAATCACCTCATTCTTTGGGGCACACGTGAGGAACACAAATGCGAACAAGCCTGAATGGTCCCCAGGACAATATGCAACTGAAAACTCACACCCAGAAGTGACTCGAACCCATACTCCCAGAAGCAACGCAACTGGTATGTACAAGACGCCTTAATCCACTTGACCATCACGACCGGACTAATGAGGTGATAGCCTAAGCTATTTGAACCACCCCACCGCCGGCACTCGGATAGTAATCTTGGGCATAGCATTTTACCAATTCACCTCATTCTTTGGGGCACACGTGAGGAACACAAATGCGAACAAGCCTGAATGGTCCCCAGGACAATATGCAACTGAAAACTCACACCCCAGAAGTGACTCGAACCCATACTCCCAGAAGCAACGCAACTGGTATGTACAAGACGCCTTAATCCACTTGACCATCACGACCGGACTAATGAGGTGATAGCCTAAGCTATTTGAACCACCCCACCGCCGGCACTCGGATAGTAATCTTGGGCATAGCATTTTACCAAATCACCTCATTCTTTGGGGCACACGTGAGGAACACAAATGCGAACAAGCCTGAATGGTCCCCAGGACAATATGCAACTGAAAACTCACACCCCAGAAGTGACTCGAACCCATACTCCCAGAAGCAACGCAACTGGTATGTACAAGACGCCTTAATCCACTTGACCATCACGACCGGACTAATGAGGTGATAGCCTAAGCTATTTGAACCACCCCACCGCCGGCACTCGGATAGTAATCTTGGGCATAGCATTTTACCAAATCACCTCATTCTTTGGGGCACACGTGAGGAACACAAATGCGAACAAGCCTGAATGGTCCCCAGGACAATATGCAACTGAAAACTCACACCCCAGAAGTGACTCGAACCCATACTCCAGAAGCAACGCAACTGGTATGTACAAGACGCCTTAATCCACTTGACCATCACGACCGGACTAATGAGGTGATAGCCTAAGCTATTTGAACCACCCCACCGCCGGCACTCGGATAGTAATCTTGGGCATAGCATTTTACCAAATCACCTCATTCTTTGGGGCACACGTGAGGAACACAAATGCGAACAAGCCTGAATGGTCCCCAGGACAATATGCAACTGAAAACTCGTTGTTCGCATTTGTGTTCCTCACGTGTGCCCCAAAGAATGAGGTGATTTGGTAAAATGCTATGCCCAAGATTACTATCCGAGTGCCGGCGGTGGGGTGGTTCAAATAGCTTAGGCTATCACCTCATTAGTCCGGTCGTGATGGTCAAGTGGATTAAGGCGTCTTGTACATACCAGTTGCGTTGCTTCTGGGAGTATGGGTTCGAGTCACTTCTGGGGTGTGAGTTTTCAGTTGCATATTGTCCTGGGGACCATTCAGGCTTGTTCGCATTTGTGTTCCTCACGTGTGCCCCAAAGAATGAGGTGATTTGGTAAAATGCTATGCCCAAGATTACTATCCGAGTGCCGGCGGTGGGGTGGTTCAAATAGCTTAGGCTATCACCTCATTAGTCCGGTCGTGATGGTCAAGTGGATTAAGGCGTCTTGTACATACCAGTTGCGTTGCTTCTGGGAGTATGGGTTCGAGTCACTTCTGGGGTGTGAGTTTTCAGTTGCATATTGTCCTGGGGACCATTCAGGCTTGTTCGCATTTGTGTTCCTCACGTGTGCCCCAAAGAATGAGGTGATTTGGTAAAATGCTATGCCCAAGATTACTATCCGAGTGCCGGCGGTGGGGTGGTTCAAATAGCTTAGGCTATCACCTCATTAGTCCGGTCGTGATGGTCAAGTGGATTAAGGCGTCTTGTACATACCAGTTGCGTTGCTTCTGGGAGTATGGGTTCGAGTCACTTCTGGGGTGTGAGTTTTCAGTTGCATATTGTCCTGGGGACCATTCAGGCTTGTTCGCATTTGTGTTCCTCACGTGTGCCCCAAAGAATGAGGTGATTTGGTAAAATGCTATGCCCAAGATTACTATCCGAGTGCCGGCGGTGGGGTGGTTCAAATAGCTTAGGCTATCACCTCATTAGTCCGGTCGTGATGGTCAAGTGGATTAAGGCGTCTTGTACATACCAGTTGCGTTGCTTCTGGGAGTATGGGTTCGAGTCACTTCTGGGGTGTGAGTTTTCAGTTGCATATTGTCCTGGGGACCATTCAGGCTTGTTCGCATTTGTGTTCCTCACGTGTGCCCCAAAGAATGAGGTGATTTGGTAAAATGCTATGCCCAAGATTACTATCCGAGTGCCGGCGGTGGGGTGGTTCAAATAGCTTAGGCTATCACCTCATTAGTCCGGTCGTGATGGTCAAGTGGATTAAGGCGTCTTGTACATACCAGTTGCGTTGCTTCTGGGAGTATGGGTTCGAGTCACTTCTGGGGTGTGAGTTTTCAGTTGCATATTGTCCTGGGGACCATTCAGGCTTGTTCGCATTTGTGTTCCTCACGTGTGCCCCAAAGAATGAGGTGATTTGGTAAAATGCTATGCCCAAGATTACTATCCGAGTGCCGGCGGTGGGGTGGTTCAAATAGCTTAGGCTATCACCTCATTAGTCCGGTCGTGATGGTCAAGTGGATTAAGGCGTCTTGTACATACCAGTTGCGTTGCTTCTGGGAGTATGGGTTCGAGTCACTTCTGGGGTGTGAGTTTTCAGTTATATATATATATATATATATATATATATATATATATATATATATATATATATATATATATATATATATATATATATATATATATATATATATATATATATATATATATATATATGAATGAAAACTCACACCCCAGAAGTGACTCGAACCCATACTCCCAGAAGCAACGCAACTGGTAACTACAGGGCGCCTTAATCCGCTTGACCATCACGGCCGTCAAAAGGAAGTGATAGCCGAGGCTATTTGAGCCACTTCCCCGACGGCAACTCGGATGGTAATCTTGGGCATAGCATTTCACCAAATCACCTCATTCTTTGGGAATGGGAATTCTTTGGATAGCCTCGGCTATCACTTCCTTTTGACGGCCGTGATGGTCAAGCGGATTAAGGCGCCCTGTAGTTACCAGTTGCGTTGCTTCTGGGAGTATGGGTTCGAGTCACTTCTGGGGTGTGAGTTTTCATTCGCATATAGTCCTGGGGACCATTCAGGCTTGTTCGCATATATATATATATATATATATATATATACTGTATATTTGGAACGTTTCAACAAATAGTTGCTATAAGTACTATAATTTTAGGAGAATGGGTTATCTTGAGATGATTTCGGGGCTTTTTAGTGTCCCCGCGGCCCGGTCCTCGACCAGGCCTCCACCCCCAGGAAGCAGCCCGTGACATCTGACTAACACACAGGTACCTATTTTACTGCTATGTAACAGGGGCATAGGGTGAAAGAAACTCTGCCCATTGTTTCTCGCCGGCGCCTGGGATCGAACTCAGGACCACAGGATCACAAGCCCAGCGTGCTGTCCGCTCGGCCGACCGGCTCCCGGCTGCCCTTTTTTTTTATTCCAATGGCTCATCCGCGTCTGGTTTCCATCCCCCATCATCCGTTCTCCTCTTGTTTCTTCTAAGTAGGTCATCATTGCTTACTTTGCCGATACCCGATGTGCTAATGTCGTGATCATGTTTCTTTTCCAGTCAAGTGAGATTAAATATATTTTTACCCTTTTTCAGATTTTAGTAATATCAGTTATGAAACAAGTCTTGTGGCTTATAAGCGGAGACTCCACGGCGTGACTGTGTAATTTAGCGCCGCTCTCACAGGTAACATGCAATACCTGAATGCCTCGATGTCCAGATTCCTGAGGGCTCCTCGAAGGTCCACTCGCTTCCCATATGCAGCACATGTCATTATGATGACATGTAATCTCGGAAGACAGGCGTAGCATTATGTCTACTCTTCGAGCTTTATCCTTTTTCCGACTCTGAGAAGACTCTTCCCTATGTTGTGGACCTCCTCGTCTCTGTTGCCATCCTTCACACCAATTCTCCAGTTTGTTTACATCTTCATAAAGCACTCTACAGTCCCCTATTATTCTGCTTTAGAGAACTGTGTATCATCAGCAAACATCCACTTACAGGAGTCTACTTCCTCGATAAGCAAGTTAGCATACATAAGGAACAGTTTGGACTGTAGGACAACCCCAAGCAGTACTATACTTTATTACCTACCACCATTCTGATTACTCGGGAGCTCTGCTTCCTGGTTGACAGGTTGACACAACTTTCCTGGTTCATTGCTCTTCCCGTTATCCTTGCGAGTTGCTCAAGTACAGCGGTTCTCAACAGTTTTTGCCCCGTGCACCCTTTTCACCATATGTCAGATTCCCCATTTTCAAGATTTCTGACTCAAAAGTTATATTCCTTTCACACATTTTAGTTTATAGGAAGATCAACATTCCAACAGTTTGAGTCTGTGGTCTCCATCACCCCTCCCCCCCCCCCCCCCCATCCCCACCGACTCTGAAACCCTAAAATTGCCCTGTGAAGGGAGAGTCTCGCGTGGGTAGTGCGTGTAGAGTCTGTGTTCAATAGTCTCCACGACTCTCTGCTAATTAACAAGGACACAGCTACTCCATCCTTCTCACTTCTGCTTGACTACTACTTTGTTACATTGTTGAATATGACCGTACCAGAGACGGAAATGATCTGGTGGATGGGACAGTGGTAGTGGTGACAGTAGTTATGGTGGCGGTGATTGTGGTTATGGTGGCGGTGATTGTGGTTATGGTGGCGGTGATTGTGGTTATGGTGGCGGTGACTGTGGTTATGGTGGCGGTGATTGTGGTTATGGTGGCGGTGATTGTGGTTATGGTGGCGGTGATTGTGGTTATGGTGGCGGTGATTGTGGTTATGGTGGCGGTGATTGTGGTTATGGTGGAGGTGATTGTGGTTATGGTGGCGGTGATTGTGGTTATGGTGGCGGTGATTGTGGTTATGGTGGCGGTGATTGTGGTTATGGTGGAGGTGATTGTGGTTATGGTGGAGGTGATTGTGGTTATGGTGGCGGTGATTGTGGTTATGGTGGAGGTGATTGTGGTTATGATGGAGGTGACTGTGGTTATGGTGGAGGTGATTGTGGTTATGGTGGCGGTGATTGTGGTTATGGTGGAGGTGACTGTGGTTATGGTGGCGGTGATTGTGGTTATGGTGGCGGTGATTGTGGTTATGGTGGAGGTGATTGTGGTTATGGTGGCGGTGATTGTGGTTATGGTGGCGGTGATTGTGGTTATGGTGGAGGTGATTGTGGTTATGGTGGAGGTGATTGTGGTTATGGTAGAGGTGATTGTGGTTATGGTGGCGGTGATTGTGGTTATGGTGGAAGTGATTGTGGTTATGGTGGAGGTGACTGTGGTTATGGTGGAGGTGATTGTGGTTATGGTGGCGGTGATTGTGGTTATGGTGGAGGTGATTGTGGTTATGGTGGAGGTGACTGTGGTTATGGTGGAGGTGATTGTGGTTATGGTGGAGGTGACTGTGATTATGGTGGAGGTGATTGTGGTTATGGTGGAGGTGACTGTGGTTATGATGGAGGTGACTGTGGTTATGGTGGTGGTGATTGTGGTTATGGTGGCAATAAAAGTGATAATATTGGTGAAAATAGAGGCGGTGGTAATAGCGGTGATGTTGATAATGGCTATACCAGTGTTGGTATTCATTATGGAAGTAATGGAGGGGGTAGAGGTGATAATAGTGGCAATGGTGTTTTTTTTTTTTTGCAGGGATATTCCTGCGCGGGCCCTAAGCCTCTGGCTGGCCCACTGCGCGGGCCCTAAGCCTCTGGCTGGCCCACTGCGCGGGCCCTAACTGCGCGGGCCTCTGGCTGGCCCACTGCGCGGGCCCTAAACCTCTGGCTGGCCCACTGCGCGGGCCCTAAGCCTCTGGCTAAGCCTCTGGCTGGCCCACTGTTGCTTGTTTCTGTTTTACTTGGGCGGAGTGTGAGTATGTATGACTCGTATGGTCGCTTCAGTAAGATTTTGCCCCATGAGTTTAACAACTTCTGCTCTGTTGAATCTAAGTTGAAATCTTAATGGGTTTGTAACTGTGCACTGTGTTAGATAATGTTCCAGTGGTCTGTCGGGCATTTCTCCACAGTGCTGACATTTATGGTGGTGGTGTTGGTACCAGTGGTGGTGGTGTTGGTACCAGTGGTGGTGGTGGTGGTGGTGGTGTTGGTACCAGTGGTGGTGGTGTTGGTGTTGGTACCAGTGGTGGTGGTGTTGGTGTTGGTACCAGTGGTGGTGGTGGCGGTGGTGGTACCAGTGGTGGTGGTGGCGGTGGTGGTACCAGTGGTGGTGGTGGTGGTGTTGGTACCAGTGGTGGTGGTGGCGGTGGTGGTACCAGTGGTGGTGGTGGTGGTGTTGGTACCAGTGGTGGTGGTGGCGGTGGTGGTACCAGTGGTGGTGGTGGCGGTGGTGGTACCAGTGGTGGTGGTGGTGGTGTTGGTACCAGTGGTGGTGGTGGCGGTGGTGGTACCAGTGGTGGTGGTGGCGGTGGTGGTACCAGTGGTGGTGGTGGTGGTGTTGGTACCAGTGGTGGTGGTGGCGGTGGTGGTACCAGTGGTGGTGGTGGTGGTGTTGGTACCAGTGGTGGTGGTGGTGGTGTTGGTACCAGTGGTGGTGGTGGCGGTGGTGGTACCAGTGGTGGTGGTGGTGGTGGTGTTGGTACCAGTGGTGGTGGTGTTGGTACCAGTGGTGGTGGTGGTGGTGTTGGTACCAGTGGTGGTGGTGGTGTTGGTACCAGTGGTGGTGGTGGTGGTGTTGGTACCAGTGGTGGTGGTGGTGGTGGTGTTGGTACCAGTGGTGGTGGTGGTGGTGTTGGTACCAGTGGTGGTGGTGGTGGTGGTGGTACCAGTGGTGGTGGTGGTGGTGGTGTTGGTACCGGTGGTGGTGGTAGTGTCGAGCACAAACAACCAGGTGTATACCTACGCACAAAACATGGAGGCAGGACGCCCATAGTGTGCCACCGATGTCCTGCAAGTTGAGTAATTAACCTTCATGCGAAGAAGACAACAAGACTCCTAATGCCGCCTCCTGATAATAAACAAATCCGTAAAGGAGTTACTTTCACAGAGGCATCGACCCCTGTAGAATGAGAGACAACCCAAAATAACGAGATAGTTTCCACTAACACAAAGCAGTTGATATGTTCTGATGGGATTACTGTGTCGTTTAATGTTACTTTGGAAGGTCCTCAAGAAGTGTGTGGGACCGGACATACTAACAGAGATAGATCCGCACACCAGGACAGGTGGAGACAGACGCAGACTGAACGACAGAGGGAGACAGACGCAGACTGAACGACAGGTGGAGACAGACGCAGACTGAACGACAGGTGGAGACAGACGAAGACTGAACGACACAGAACGACAGGTGGAGACAGACGCGGACACAAGGACACAGACACAGACGCAGACACAAGGACACAGACGCGGACACAAGGACACAGACGTGGACACAGGACACAGAGACGGACACAAGGACACAGAGACACAGACGCGGACACAAGGACACAGAGACACAGACGCGGACACAAGGACACAGACACAGACGAGGACACAAGGACACAGAGGGAGACAGACGCGGACACAAGGACACAGAGACACAGACGCGGACACAGAGACACAGGCGTGGACACAAGGACACAGGCGCGGACACAAGGACACAGAGATACAGACGCGGACACAAGGACACAGACACAGACGAGGACTGAACGACAGAGGGAGACAGACGCAGACACAAGGACACAGAGACAGACGCGGACACAAGGACACAGACACAGACGCAGACACAACGACAGGTGGAGACAGACGAAGACTGAACGACAGGTGGAGACAGACGCAGACACAACGACACAGAGACACAGACGCGGACTGAACGACAAGTGGACACACAAGGACAGGTGGAGACAGACGCGGACACAAGGACACAGAGACAGACGCAGACACAAGGACACAGGTGGACACAGACGCAGACACAAGGACACAGAGACACAGACGCAGACACAAGGACACAGAGACACAGGGAGACAGACGCAGACTGAACGACAGAGGGAGACAGACGCAGACACAACGACAGAGGGAGACAGACGCAGACACAACGACACAGAGACACAGGCGCGGACACAAGGACACAGAGACACAGGCGTGGACACAAGGACACAGAGGGAGACAGACGAGGACACAAGGACACAGAGACACAGACGCGAACACAAGGACACAGAGGGAGACAGACGCGGACACAGAGACACAGACGGACACGGACACAACACGGACACAAGGACACAGAGACACAGACGCGGACACAAGGACACAGAGACACAGACGCGGACACAAGACACAGAGACACAGACGACGGACACAAGGACACAGAGACACAGACGCGGACACAAGGACACAGAGACACAGACGCGGACACAAGGACACAGACGCGGACACAAGGACACAGACGCGGACACAAGGACACAGAGACACAGACGCGGACACAAGGACACAGAGACACAGACGCGGACACAAGGACACAGACACAGACGAGGACACAAGGACACAGAGACACAGACGCGGACACAAGGACACAGAGACACAGGCGCGGACACAAGGACACAGAGACACAGGCGCGGACACAAGGACACAGAGACACAGGCGCGGACACAAGGACACAGAGACACAGACACGCGGACACAAGGACACAGAGACACAGGCGCGGACACAAGGACACAGAGACACAGGCGCGGACACAAGGACACAGAGACACAGGCGCGGACACAAGGACACAGAGACACAGGACGGACACAAGGACACAAGAGACACAGGCGCGGACACAAGGACACAGAGACACAGACGCGGACACAAGG